TTTCATTATTTATTAAGAGGGATGCTTCCTCCCATAAAACACTAATTGGTTCCTGTTTCTCCAGTCATTGTGACATTCCTGCCACTGGCTTCCATCCACCCACACATGTTTTCCCAGAAACCCTTCTTGCATAAACCATGGTTTCAATGCAAGCAAATAGAAAATGGCTGATCACTACTAGAGGAGTTAAAGGAGGCATTATGTGTACTTTATGCTGTTCAGCTGGCAGAAAGTCAGGGAAAGAACTCAGTGATACAGTGAGAATCTCATACGTGATGGACAACAACACCTGGTGCCAGCTTTCACATCAAGGTCAGCTGAACGGGAAGTGGTGGATACAGGAATTGAAAGGCTTGGTTGTGCAAGCAAGTTGTCAAATCAAAATGATAACATAACTCCCTGTTCTACACCTAAAATAAAGAAATTGAGCCAGTGTCAAATTCTTTAATTCCAAAACAATAACAGCTGGGATGTGGTTAATGTTCTGGCTGCAGGGCCATTAACTCTACAATGACTTCTTCCTTCACAGCTGGCCAAAAAGTTACTTGCTTTCCTGATCCCAAGGAAACGAGGAGCACAGACTACAGAACTTAGAGAAGTATTTGTCATCACAGAAAAGACAAGCTGTCTTATTCTCAGGTCAGAATGCAAAGGCATTCCCATGATTTCACAGGTTTTTTAATCTTGACACCAGTTGAATGACTTGAGTCTGTTTATCCTGCCATCTCGCCTTGACCTATCTCAAGCCCAGAAGCTCAATTTGCTGATTCAAAAGCATCAAAGATAGAGGACAATTTTAAGGCAGACTTTGTGAAAGACATGGATGTTTGTGCAGTCACCTCTGAGAAGACAGCACCTCAGAGAAGGTAGCAACTCACCCTACAGAGCAGGGACCCTCCCCCCATCCCCACGGCCCCCATCTCTGCTGGACTTTACTTCCCCTGGGCTAGGGGAGTAAGGCCAGCAGTAAGCCAACTGCAACCTGGGGTGCTGTTAATTCTCAGTTCCTCTAGTTTTCTACATTTACACACCTCTCTACACTTATAAAAAATTTTCTATCAGCATGCATATGGATGGTGCACACTTACAACAGGTAGTTGTCAGGTTGTCTCACCAACCAACACCATCACCCAGGCATGCTATTTTGCAGACCAAATGAATAATTGTTCTTCGTGCTACTTTCCACAACTGTTTTGTGCTCCCCAGCCTTCACAGTTTCTTGGCCTCCTGTCCAAACCCCAAAGCTGAGCTTCCCAAGAGGCATGTTCCACCATCATATAAGAAAAACTGTGGTCAGAAAGGGATCAGAAAAGAAATGCAACCTGACACTCACAAGCACAGCACAAATGTTTATCTTGTACCCAAACACGTTGTGCTGCACGAGAAATACAGACATCCACACACCCAACAAATGCCACAGAAATTGTATTTAAGAAGAGAGCATAGGGGAGCATAAGATATTTTAACAGCTGACATATTGCCAGCAAGACACAGCCTTGCAGTAAGTGCTAGACAGTTTCAGAACAATGACTTCTCCATGAGTTTTCACAGCTGCATGGAGAGATGCAGGCAAGTGGCTATTTCTGCTCTAGAGAAGCCTAAGGCTTAAAGGGAAAAGAGCATTACACTGCAAAGATGTGTGAGGAAAATCATATGCTCTCTGAGCATACGCTCTGTTGCTCAAGCGTCCTCCCCATGATTGGTCATCTTTATACATTGGGAAAAGGGAAAATGGAAAAGGGAAAGGAGGGGAAGGAACAGGAGGGGAGGCTGGAAGGGATGGAAAGAGGAGGGAAAGAGGAGGGAAAGGGATGGAAAGAGGAGGGAAGGGAAGGGATGGAAAGAGAAGGAAAGGGAAAGGGAAAGGGAAAGGGAAAGGGAAAGGGAAAGGAAAAGGGAAAGGGAAAGGGAAAGGAAAGGGAAAGGGAAAGGGGAAAGGAGGGAGGGAAAGGGGAGGAGAGGGGGAGGGGGAGGGGAGGGAGGGGAAGGGAGGAGGAGGGGGAGGGGAAGGGGGAGGGGAAAGGAAAAAAATCTGGATGGAACAAGTTTTCAAGATGTGTGAGAAGTAAGGCCCAGAGTATATGAAATGAAAGGAAACTAACTACAGGGTGAAATGGCTAATGGAACTGAAGCAAGACATGAGCAAGTGACAGTAAGAAAGGGTGGACAGATGCTGAATCCAGTGAAACTTATTTGTTAGGCAAAGCAAACAATTAGTCTAGGTCTCATTTCAAGAGTCAAATTATTTCAAATAATGATGGAAATGTCACTCCTCTTCAGATGACTGGGATTTGAATAAACAACCTGGAGCATACATATATTAGATATAAAAGTGTGTTGTCCTGGTTTTGCCTGGGACAGAGTAAATTTTCTTCTTAGTAGCTGATAGAGCTTGCTTTTAGTATGAGAATAATGTTTATAACACAATGATGTTTTATGTTTTGCTCAATAGTGCTTACCCTAAGGCAAGAACTTTTCAGTGTCTCATGCTCTGTAGGTGCACTAGAATCCAGGAGGAAGCATGGCCTGGACAACTGACCCAAGCACTGTTCCACATAACCAGATGTCATGCCCAGTAGCTGATTGCTGCTGCAGGATGGGCAGGGCATCAGTCAGTGGGTGGTGAGAAATTTCATTGTGCATCACTTGTTCCTAGGGGTTTTATTCCTCTGTCTTTCTGCTTTTCATTATTATTATAATAGTTGTTGCTACTGTTACTATATTTTATTTTGTTGAAATTATTAAACTGTTCTTCTTTCAATGCATGAGTCTTAGTTGTTTTTTTTTCTGATTCTTCTCTCCACCCTGGGGAGGTTGGGGATGTGAGTGGCTGCCTGGTACTTAGTTGCTGGGGTTAAACCACAAAGTGTGTGTGTGTGTGTGTGTGTGTGTGTGTGTGTGTGTGTGTAAAAATATTTATATTAATTTATATAAATATATATAAATGCTCGGTATCTGTTCAGAGTTAGATTTTTACAGTTCAATTTTTTCTTGAAAAGTTCAAGAGTTACCAGTCTGTCAGAGGGTTTTGGCTTTCTGATCTTTTTTTTTTTTTTTTTTTTTTTTTTTTTTTTTTTTTTTTAGGAGATGAATAAAGACAAGTGACTTCCTGGAAAAACATTTCAGATGTAAAATTGAACAATGTTAGATGCACACACTGTCAGGCAAAAAAAATATTTATGCAGGATTAATTCCAGTATCTAATATTGGTTCGGTACTAGATTGCTGAACTTTCTTTCATCTGTGATCCTAGTTTATGCCAGCTGCTCGAAAAACAAAACAAATCATATTTTTAAAAACAAAGGAAACCCTGCTTAAATTAAACTCCCTTGTTAACATTAAATGTTCAACTAAGCCAAAGAAGGAAGCAGTGGTGAAAGCAAATAAATATGAATTATGAACAATTTCTCTCTGTTTATTCCGGGTAAAAGCTGCTTAGCTTGGTCTGACTGCTAGACTGATCAACAAGCAGATACAGCTCTCAAGCAAGTGAAAACTCCCTCTAATGGCAACTGGATAAAAGACAGTTTGGGGAAAAAAAAAAAAAAAAGCATCTCACTGCATTTGAAACCTATTTTCCACTAAGATAAATCTGGTTAGTATAAATGCTTTTGAAAAGTGAAACTTTAGCCAGTGCCCAAGATTCTTTTAAATTACAATTTTTTACATTCCTGACATATAATTTTTATGTGCTTTGTAAGATGTGTTGTAAAAATTACATGTTACATAAAATGTTTTTTCTCCAACCTGTCTGTTGCTTTAACAGAGTGGCTTAGAAAAGCGCTCAGGACAAATGACTCCTCCCACCCATGAAAAGGGTCCTGCTATTCTGCAGCACTACTCCCAGCAGAAACACTAAACACTGAGAGATAGTTGCAGAATTAGGAATGCACAGGCAAAATAAACATTTAACCCATGCAGGGAATTTAATAAAATTAGGAAATGTCACATTCTGCTCAAAAATACCAAACAGAAATTGTAGTTAGAAAACCATAAAAATTAAGAAAAAAACCACAGCTGCTTTCAGCTGGATGAGCACTTTCTGCAGGATTAAAATATTAAGGAAGGAAGGTAACCACAGGATTACAGCTTAGCACTCACTGTGTTAGCATTAAAGTAAAGGGGAAAACTTACAAAGTCATTAACTTAGAAAGCTTCAAGCTCTGTCATACTGAGATCAGGCTTTTTCCTCTAAACCTACAGAGGAAATACACAGAGGAGGCTATATCCTATTTCAGGTTCTCGAGTAAATTCTAGAGGTTACTCTCCTTCATTTCTGCCATGCCTGCATATGTGCATTCTTTTTATAGCCTGAAGGTCATTTCAATTACCACAAACAAGAATATCAGGCTCTTGCTGATCAAGAGTGAATTGTTTTCAGAAGGGAAGTATTTGAGGGAGTAGAAATCCACAGTAAAGTGAGTTGAACATTAAAAAAAAAATTAACAACTAATTTTAAAAAGCAGACTTTTCATTCAAAAACTGAACTTCAAAAAATGTTGACTTCTTACCCAAAGCTCACTAGAGCCATTCCCCTCAAAACCAACCTAGTTACTCTGCTGCTTTAGAAGCAGAAGCTTTTACAGAGGTGTGGAACAGACAAGTCTTCTACACTAGCATGCAGTCCCCCTTCAAAGTAAGAACAGCATATGCAATCTGATCCAAACACCACTTAAGTAAACAAAAAGCCTTGGGAATTTACACTAGCCTACATGCACAGTTGTTACCTCTTCTAATAGTTATTGGATGTCCAGAGCAAAAATGACACCACGGCAATGTGAGTAGTAGTACATTTATAATGGCAGATAAAATAAAAAGTATAATCTGAAAGTAGGACATACTTCCCTGTGAGACACTAGAAACAAGACAGAGATCAGTCTGTGTTTATAAGTAAACTCATTTTATTGAATGGTTTGCAGTGCTGCTTAAAATAACAACACTTAATCTATACATGTGGTTGCAATTTTTAAAAAATTAATTTTTTTTCAGAAAACATGCATATTTATGTACATAATTTTGAGATAAAAGAAAGAATTACCATTTACAGCAGAAATTCATCTTTAAAAATCTTTTAAGAGATAAGGCAGGCAGTAGCAATTCAGTAGAAGGCAAAACTTACTCTCTACTCTGAAGGTATAGTTTATTCATTGAGAGATATTAGTAACTGCACAAGGAGGTCATTTAAGGATGGATTCAACTGAAAATGACAGTGGCTCACTTGTTGAAAGTTTTGTTGTGGCCTGTTTGGCCCCAGAGAAGTCTCTTGCACATTTGTCTACAGTAAACTTGTATTTTTGGTTCTCTTTAACACCACACTCTCTGTATTTCTTAGAAGCATCTTCAAAAGTCTCTTTCACAAATGATGTTCTTAACTCTGCTCCTGATCTGTCAGAAAATGTCTGCTGGAACAGTGACTGAAATGGGCTGTATTTGAGCGGTGGAGGAGGTTTGGTACTGCTTTTGCTTATCTTGCTTAATACCTGCTCCTGAGGAGACAGAGAATCCTTATCAGAAATCTGCAAGAAAGTCCTTTTTGGAGGAGAGAAAGCTGACCTCTCTCGAGCTTCCTGAGGAAGGCACAGTATTTCATTACGTGACTGCTGAATGTCTTGTGTGTGAGTCAGAACAAGTGAATTTTCCAGTTTTGGAGGCATAATGTCATGCTCAGTGTTTGGACAGTCTTGACTTTGTGAGACCTTGGCATCCCAACCTGCCCCAGGTTTGAGAGCTTGGACAGTACTAGCATTTAATAGGCATTGCTGGTAGAGAAGAGCGTCACTAATGGGGCCACATTTTGGCCACACTAAGAACCTAGAAGGCAGAGGATACTGCCTGTAGGAAGTAGCTACACTGACATTTGATGAAATTAGTTCCATGTTGCTGGTTCCTGAATACTGCATTGTTAGATCAAGGCAGGTTGGTAAAAAATTGCAAAACTCCTTGTTTGGAGCATCAACTTGAATAGTGTTGAAGGCTGTTTTATACGAGTTGTATTCAGCTCCACGCACTATGCGGTTAGGGAGAAAAAGGGTAGCTGCTTGTGTAGCTTCCATCATCTCTCTCTCTTTATACTCTCTCTCTAGCATAATGTTCTCCAACTCTTTATCAGCAAAAGCCCGTCTCTTTCTCATCCTGTCACTTACAGGGGGTGGCAAGGGTGAATTCCCTCTCAGGTACGGGTCTGTTGGAATTGGACGGTAACCTAAAACAACAAAGCAGCATTAGGAATGAAGCCACATGAGAAAAACATGAAAGCTATATTTGTACAAGGGCTCCATTTGGAACCAGTCCCACAAGGTGCTGAGCACTCGCTGCAGACCCTGGACAGCATCAGCTCCCACAGAAGTCACTATGACCCAGAGGCTTAGCAATCTGCCAACAGGCACGTTCAGGACAAGTTCCTCAATGCAGATAAGCAAGCCCTGCTCCTCTGACATGTGTAGTATCCTTCAAAGCTAACTGATTAGTAACTTTTTAAAAAGCAGTTCCAAAAGAACAGATCAGGGGCAGGCGAAAATAAAAAAAAACAGGCTCTGCTGTGTTATGACTGGTATTCCATCTCATAGCGTAAGGAGATAACCATTCAATTTTAACACATATTTGAAGGCTTTCCATATTTTATTTCTTCTGAAATAAAATAAAATTAGGATAAAACAGAAAATCCAGTTTCCAGTGTATTCAATTGCCAAGCTACTTGGATTCATTTAATATAGCAGATAGACTCCAATCCTATTTGCTCTACCAGACAAGTAATCTCACTGAATTAATGGAACTACTTACATGAGTAAGGAGAACAGGATTTTACCTGTTTTCACTCCCATTCCTCTTACACAGTTTCCCCTTTTCCAAGGAAGATATCTATACCCACAGCTGATGTCTTTTCTGTTTTCTAAAGATGAATCACTACGTACAGACACTGCTACAGATGGTATAAAATTCAAAGGAGAACTAGGAGAAAAGGAAAAGACAGTCAAGACAGATCAGAGAAAAGAATAAAGAAGTTTTCAAAAAAGTGAACTGTAGACAAAAGTTCGAGGTTTCTAAGTAGACAAAATTTTAATTGAGCTTGCAGAGGCAAAGAAAAGTTTTCTATTTTGGAAATAAAAAATAGATTGAGAAGTGCTTTACAGGCCTACAGTTCAGAAAGTAATTAAAGCAGACATAGAAAAAATTTGTGCACCATCCAAAAAGGGAGTAGGGAACAAAAAATATACCCTTTCTCTAAAATGTGCATCTTTAAAATACCGCTCTTCCACAGTTAAAACTTAGCACAGGGAAAAAAATTTGAGCACCCTATTATGCATATCTTACTATTGATAATGTTGCAAATGTGTTGCTGTGTTAGGCATTCAGCTCTAACAACAAAAAAAATCACTGATTTACTCATTTGCTAATAAAAACACTCGCAAATAAATGACCCTGTGAATAAATTATCCTGCACTGCAGAACGCTGCTGGGTAGTCATGTAAAAAGAATGTCAGCTTGTAACAGTAACTCTCAAATTTCAAACTACCGTTGCTAGCATTTCAGGCATCATTTTAGGCGGAGAGGGCAAAACACTGAAATTGTGCCACATTGATTCCGGCCTCGAAGGGCAGGATCCTCCGCCGCCCGACACTTCGTAGCGGGACGCGCTTTAACGCCTGTTTCGGGAATGACGCCACATTTCACTCGCGTCCCGCAGCAGACGCGCCTCGGACTGGAGGTGTGGGTCTTCCAGGAGAGCGGGTGCCGCAGGGCTGAGGGCAGCCCGTGGAGGGATGAGGGAAGTGCTTACCTTCCAGGATGCTCTTGGCCAAGAGGCTGGGCGTTCGGACGTGCCTCTGGTAGACAGCTTTGCGCTCCAGGCTCGCTTGCTTCCCCATGAGCCCCTTCTTGTCCTAGGAGAGCGAGCGCGGTGCCGTTAGACCGGGGCCGCCCCTCCCGTCTCTTTCCGTCCCGTCTCTTCCCGTCCCGTCCCCCCTCACCTCCGTAGCCTGCTGCCGTCGGAGCGCCACCTGGGCGGCCATGACGCGCTGCCGCTCCACCACCAGCAGGCAGTTGGCGCACTGGCAGTCGCGCCACCGGCAGAACCGCTTGTGTCCCTTCAGGCACGACACCACGCCGTGGTTCCGGCACCGGGCGCACTTGGGCGTGCGGCTCAGCTTCCGAGGCTCGCCCCGCCGCGGAGCCGCCGCCGCCTCCTCGCCTTCCTCCTCCTCCTCCTCTTCCTCCTCCGGGACGGTGCTGCTGCGCGGCGCGCCCGGTGGCTCGCCCGGATCCCCCTCCAGGCTCTCCACGTCGATCTCCCAGTCGGCGGCGGCGCGTCCTTCAGCCATGGCTGCTCGGCGGCACAGCTACAAGAGAGGGGTCAGGCTCCCGCCCAGCGGTCGAACGGCAGCCGGGGCACACCTGGCTCCCGACGTGCCCGCTGGCAGCCCCGCCGAGATGCGTCCCCGTCGCGAAGTCACGGCAGAGCCTGCTTGGAATGTCACCTTCCCCCTCACCGCCTGCTCCCTTGCCCGTGTACCACACAAGACTCAGTTTAGCCACGACGGACGCCTTCCTCCGCGCCCGCCCCAGCGCGCCTGTGAACTGCACTCGCCCGCCGCAGGCAGGAGCGCGTCTCCAGCGGCGCTGGATGCGGGCGGCACCGCCGCAGGGCGATGCCCAGCGCCGCAGGGCTGAGGGTATGTCAGGTCTTGACAGGGGCCTGGTTATTACAGGACACTGACAGCTCTCCTGCCAGCTGCGTTCAGACTTAGGAGACAGGTAGAGGACACCTGGGCTTGACACCACGCCGCTGTCCGCTCCCGTACACAGGGGCAGTGTGGGCTTCTGGAGCTCTCTGTGGGCCTGCGCCCTCGGACCGCCACCTTCTCCCACACGCCCTCGCCGTCCCTCCTCCTGCCCGCTGCACTTACCGAAGGCAGGTGGTGCAGGCAGCACGCAGCCCCCCCGCAGTTCGCAAGGTGCCGCTGTCCAAGATCGGCCGGAGGCACGGGACTCCCGATCCGCGCACCCGACGCCAGGCTC